TGACCTCATGTGCTTCGCATGAGGTTTGAAGGTTTTGTGTGAAGTTGTGTGTTGAAAGAGTCATTAAAGAAGCTTCTTTGCATCCTTCAACGACGTCCGATTATAAGTCACGACAAGAGCTCGCTCGCTCACTGCAAAGGTAACCAACTTTTACCCTTTCACGCGCTTCTTCGACCAAATCCCATAAATATGTCGAATTATAGGATTTACGACAGAAAGAGGGAAATAAGGGATTTATTCCGCCGTGATATGATTGATATATGTAAGCAATGAAGTCTGGTTGTGAACAACATAATTAATGTTGATTGGTTATTAAAACTTAATGCCCTCTATAGGAAGGTGGGATGATAGGCTCTCCCTCCAGGGCTGCCTATTAATATTCAAAATGACATTCTTGCCATTCTAATCATTTCAAATGATGCTAGTACCTTAAAATGACATGGCACTGAGAATTTCTCATTTAAAGTTTTCATTGGTGACTTTTATGACGGTTTTCAACATCCCACTTGGTATAAATATGTTTGGCACAAGAATTATGTCTTGAGATATTCAGCTTATACTTGGATTACTTTAGCTGACGGTCTTAAAACTGTGAATAATTTAGTGAAAAGAGGCATTAATATTTAATATATGGGCTTTGCAACACTCTTCCTGAATCTATTTATCATATATTTTTTTAATGAGATGCCTCATTTTCCATTATTATAAGCTTGATCCCTTAGATGGATATCTTTCTTTTGAGGCCTAACTTAATGAAGTTGTTTGATTTCATTTATGAGCATCACATGTTAGCAATGTTCAAAAAAAGTTCTACAACTTGATAATTTGTTGTTTACTATATCATATTTGTAGGAAAATGAATGGTAGAAGATTTGGGCCTAACTATAATAGCATTTATACTATTTCTTGCACCATAAAGAAAGCCATTCAATCTTAAATTGTTAGTTGGAAAAAGAGGGATGATGTCATTAACTTAATCTCTTAAGTTGATGTTTTTTTTTTTTTTTTTTTCATTTCTTTGTGACTTTCTATTTTGCAGTTTTGCTCTTTATTATGGATTTCCGCTATTCATATTTCACAAGACATTAGATTTTGGTGACTTGGTTCTTTATCATCCTACTTTGTATGTGATTGGTGTTACATCATGTTTTGGCAGTTATTTATTGCTACTCTGCTCGCTAGGAGTTTTAAGATGGCAAGGTTGTACGATGAGGAATGTTTCTCATCTCCTTGGAGAATTTTTATTAGTCTTGTTCCCTTATGACAGTCAGGCTCTTATCATTGGATAGTAATCTCCGCAACAAGGGAGTGACTGAATCTTTTGTTTGTCAAGAGTATTTTTGAACATTTTGAGTCCAAAGTTTTTATGCTTTCCTTTATGTTTTTTTCTTATTTTAATTTGCTCTGATATTAGGCATTGCCTTTTTTATGCGACCCTCTATATTTTATCTTCATATCCATAGTGTTGTACTTTTCCTTTACATGATGTAACTTTATTATATAATCAATGAAATTGGGCTAAGCCTTTATAATTCCCTCCCTCCGTTCCTCCAAAAAAAAAATATTCTTTTTGTGTTTTGTCTGTGTTGGAGAGAAATTAAACAAAAAAAGTATTAAATTTTTATTATAATTTACAAAAAATTCAAATGAATGGTTATTAATGTCTAAAAAATTAAACTATGTAAACTAGGTTCTCAAATAAAACCCTAAAGTAGAATTTATACAAATTTAGTTGTGATGATAAGTTTAATTACATCAACTAATAATAATAAAATTGCTATAAATTTCAACTCTGCACTGACATATTAATTTTCTCATATGCAATCAATTGCATTAATTTTTAGAAGCGTACTAGTTTTAGACTTTTATGCTCAATATATTGAGAACAGAACAATGAGCCATCTAAATTGATTTTGCAGATTTAATGTTACCTGAAATGCCTAATAGGCATGTACTCTTATGTTTTATAGGGATACTATATCATAAATAGATATCATTATACATATATATTATAATATTATTATTATATATATAAGCCTATTCAAATTTTCTAACTTTACTGAATTAATATCCATATAATTTATTATTTTATTCATTTTAAATACATCTTATAAATTTACAAAAAAATTATCACCCTTTCCCTAACTTTTATACACCCACTTGTTGTAATACTAAATATGATTACTAGTTAATCCATAATGATTTTTATTAATAATAAAAAAAATATAGTTATTATTTTAAAATCCTTTATTGAATTTGTGGTATGATTTAGAAACTAAGAAAGTAGACTTAGGAATTAAATTTATAATGGAAAGATCGCATCTTGAGGCACTGATGGCTGCCTTATGTGAGATCATTGTAGTACCAAGCATATCTATATAATCAAAGAAAATTGAAGCGCTCTGGAAGCACTGCAACGCTATCATACTAACATTACGTTCTCTGTTGTGGTATTGCTTAGGACACTGTGATCGCTATAGAGTGGCCAGGTGGCGCTAGGTCTCACTGTAGATGTATAGAAAGAGTCTACGCGCGCGCCGGTTCCTCCAGCCGCCTGATGGGTTGGGGAGAGAAGAGATATTTATTTATCTCGTATGTGTATAATTAA